GTTGAATTTAGTCTAAATAGCTAGGGTAGGGTATAATTTTAAAAATACTAAGTCTTGAAAACCCCCCGTGCCACTATTTCTGAGACCCCACTGTACACAGCCTTACGGTCACTGGCCAATGAGCATGAACCAGGCCCGGCCAATCCAATGTCAATATCAACCTCAACATCATCCTGCTGCAGACGAACACCATACACACTGCCATCCGTCTTCTCTGCATTCGTCCACCTTGATTCTCGCGTGAGTGTGGGCTCTGCTCCTGGATGTTCCTCAGCTTGCGCGATTTGCAATACAAACGATGGCTTAGAACACCCTGACTGCAGCAACAAGTTCAAGCGTTGCGGCCCATGGGCATTGCGAAGAGCATACGGAGAAAATGGGCAAAGCAGAAGAATTCGAGACCGGCCACCAGGACCGTGTGACCGTTTTGCACACGAATTTCAACGGCACCAGGATTCTGACAGGATCAATCGACCACCGCATCAAGGTCTGGGATCGAGACGTGAAAACCGGCGAGCGCACGTTGATTGACACTTTTACCGCGCATGACTCTGATATCAGAGATGTACGTATGACCATTGAACGCATGGCGTTTTATCTTCTGACTTCCTTTCCTCCTTCATTACTCGGAGTCGCTGCTTGTCTGTATGCATATACATTAGCCCTTTTCCTCCTCAGCCTTGCCTACTCAATGCTTGCATTACATAGCCCACGCCAGCCACAAACCATTCCAAATCTTACCAACTCCCATCTCTTCATTTAGGCCAAGTTCTTCCACCCCACAACAGGCTCGCACATCGCCACGATCGGCAACGACCTGAAATTCCAGTTATGGAGCGAAGACGTCTCTCAAGCACCCAACAGCGGGCGCCGGTTTCGACGCACCACTACCATACAATCTGCACCACGCGTTCCCTTTGTGTCCTTGGACATCAAGACCACCGACAACGTGTACACCACACTGGCCCTCATTGACCGACAGGGTCTTTTGAGCATCTACGAACCCAGCAACCCGGACGACCTGCGGGAGTGGACATTGATCGACTCCTTCAACGTCTGCGGCACCAACCCTCCAGGCCGGGGCGAGGAAACCAGCTTCAAAGTCCGGTGGGACCAGAACCCAACGCCGTTAGCTTACATCAACAGTCTGAGCGACGACAGGAGTCAACTAAGCCTCGTGGTCTCGGCCCTCAACGAAGTCAAAATCTACAGATCCACCATCCCCGGCAGCGACGGAATGTCCACTTCAGGTTCCGGTCCAGGAACAAATGCGAATGCGAACATAATGGGCGGCACTAACGCCAGTGCTGATGGCGCCAGTCACAGGATCATGTTCTACGAAGCCGCACGGCTGCCTCGTCATCCTGCCCTGGTTCGCGACGTGCAATGGGCCCCGTTCAGCGTTCGCGGTACCGACCGCCTCGCCACGGCCTGCAAGGACGGCACCGTGAGAATATTTGAGCTCGGCGTGGTCGAGACTCCGGACCGTAATAGATATGCTGGTGGCAGCGATGGTGCTTCCAAACTGAATAGGACCCACACTACTACTACCACCTCTGACACCACCGATGCATCATTGCCAGCTAATGTGCAGCAACAACAGCAGCGTCAATACCAACAGCAACAACAACAACAGCAGCAGCAATCCAGCCTCACATCTGCCATCACTGGCCGCGCTATACAGCAGCAGCACCAGTTACAACAAGGCCCTTCATCCGCCGCACTCAGTGGTGGCCCTTCACGCACCACGCGCACAGGTTACATTTTTCCCTTCACCACTACAATCCAGTCCTCGACCTCGCTGTCCAGTGCCCATTCCGACGCATGGTCATTGGCCTGGGACGGCCAGGGTCAGGTGCTGATGAGCAATGGCTCCGACGGCGTCACAAAGTTGTGGCGCAAGAGTATTCTGGGCGGCCAGTGGCTGGTCTTTGCGGGACAGGAAGTTCTGGATAGGAGAGCTGGGGAGGACGACGACGATGATGACGAGGAGGATGAGGACGAAGGCCTTGATGGCGATGATGCAGCAGATTACAATGGCCGAGTCCGCAGCCGCTCTCGCAGCAACTACATCCGTAGAGATGATGACGGCGACCGGGATAGTGATTTATAACAGCACAGCATGGTGCGATTAATTCGTTTGGCTTCCAAAGTTTGATGAGAGTAGAACAAATACGGTAATGGTAACCTTCTACAGAGTAGTACATTGTACTACCTTAATCAGCCCGTGAAATATGGACTCGTCACAAGCGTGCTATCTCTCCTCAACTGCCGTCTCGTACGCTTCGGCTGTGGTGTGGCAGGCTCTTCTTCGTTTGAAGCGCGTCTGGTACCAGCAGTGTTTGCACCATGACCTTCCTCCTTGCTCTTGGCCGTTGGCGGTCTCTTCCGAGGATTCCCTCCGCTTCTTGTCTTTGGCTGGTTCATCGACATGCTTCCCGTCTCGCCCTGTGCGCCACGTTTGCGCGCTCCCGCTGTGGCTGCGGCTGCTACTGATGTTTTCTTCGCGGGCTTGTACTCGTCCTCATCGTCCTCACTATCCTCTGGTGCACTGGACAGAATCGATTCGGAACCATCGGAGAGATCGTCTTCGTCTTCGCTTTCAACGACGACCTTCCGCGAACGCCGGAGCCGCGGCCCAGGGATGGACACTTCAATCATCGTCTGTGATTTCAGCCCTGTAGCCTCGCCTTCATTGCCCGAAACACTGGACATGCCTTCGCGCGGGTCGGAACCATCATCATCGACTTGACTTGACATAGGAGAAAGCTCGGAGCCGTCGTCGTCGCTCATGCCGTCGCTGGCGCTGACGTTGTCGCGATTTTGAGAAACGCGAAGCAGTGACGCCCGTGGCCGCCGCACAGGCGCTTTCAATGGCGATATCGACGTCGGCGTCGGGTACGCCGCATCCTCTTGGTCCTTTCCTTTGCCCTTAGCCATTTTCAAATTCGGCGGCTCTTCATGATGGACCATGACCAAATCTTCGGGCACAGCTGGCTCCTCGTCATCCACAATAAAACCACCTCCGCCAAAGGCGTAATCATCATCTGCCAGTGGCAGCGCAGCGCCCGGCATATCCTCATCATCGTCCAGACTGATCGGCTGGTCTTTGGTAGTGCCATCACCAAGGTCGGCCATGGCGCCGGCGTCTCCGTAGGTGTCTTGGACACGCTCGCGGATCCTTAGTCCCATGACGAATTTTCGCCATAGATCTAAAACCAACTTTTCCATTTTGCCTTCTTCTTTCTTCTTTTGCTCCTCATTGAACTTTTTCCAGGCTTGAATCACGGCTTTCTCGTTCTCCTTGGCAACAACGACTCCCGTGCAGACTGGCACTGCTCTCTTGTTACCAAACTCAAAGCCCGTTACGGCTTCAGCGTAATCAATGTCGAGCTTTTTGCAAATCCTCACGGTTCCCCTGAGCGGAACATGTACAGCGCCCTTCGGAACCATGCTAGGCACGAAGCAGTCGATATTTCCATAGGCGTTCTTTGGTATCACGCCGTTCTCAATGGGAGGCGGGATGATGTATTCGGTTTGATCCCAGGAATAAAGCCCTTGCATCTGTTTTTGGCCCGTTATTCTCTCGTGCTCCTCGGCCTCGCGTTTTCTGGTCAGGGTCACTGCTCGGACGGGGACAAGCTTCAAGGGTGCTTCACCGGTTTTGGGCCTTCGGCCTTCTTTGTGCCATGATTCGGCCGTCAAGCACCTCTCGACATCGCTGCGACGGTACACCGGTTCCTGCTTCAAGTTTTCGCCCTTGCCGGATACAAACATTCGGTCAGGTTTCGCTCCGGGTCTCAGTGCTTCTTCGCGTCGCAGAAACCGCTCGAGTACAAAGTCGGCTGAAGCTTTCAGACTCTGGAGAGTATCTATGTCTGTATTGACTTCCTTCTTCTCTGGAAGCTGTGGAACAAGGTCATACGACTCTTCGACATCATCGACAGCCGTCCGTTTCGAGTCTGGTCGAACATAAGAGCTCATGACACGTTTGAACCAGTCATAGTCCTCGTATCTCTTCACTTTACCATGTTTGTTGTATACCGGGATCTTCTCGACGGGATAGCGGAACCCTTTCGTCTTGCCCGGCCATATCCTCTTTTTCAAGTATCGGATTGTTACGTCTTTGGCGGTGCCATCAGCTGAGTACCCGACGACATAAGCCATCACGGTCTTCGTCTTCTCTGCTTTTGCGCCGCGAGGCTCAAAGGTGGCCAATATCTCAGGGGTAGAAGCAACGGGCGAAGCAAGAACTAGAGGAGAAACCGGAAGAACTTTGTTGGTGATGGGAGATATTGCTTCCGTCCAGTATATTGGAAACGGATTATCGCGGTCATATTTTTGTGGGCGCCTCTTTGGCATCGAAGGGGTGATATCCAACACCGAATCGTCGTCTCCTTTCTCGTCATTGTCAGCGTTCGACTCAGAGTCAAGGTCAATAACTCCGCTGAGTTTTAAATTCTTCACAGGTTGCTTTCCTCCTTTCCGGGGTTGCGTCTTGCTCTTGCCGTTCCGAGACTTGGTGATCTCGGATATGGACCTGGAGTCGTCTAAATCTGACTCTTCGGATGAAGTATCATCATCCTCAAGCGTCTTGGCCGGCTTTCGCGCGACATACTGTTCCGCTTTCGTCCAACCGAACCCAGAGGGCTGAAGGCTTGCCACCATCCTTGACTCAATTCCAAGTCCTCGAAGTAGAGCGGTGAAGAGCTGGGCTCCTACATCTCTTGACCCTTCACATTTTCTCGCGGCCTCGCGGAACTCATCGAGGTTACGTATCCGCTCTCCATGTTCTTCAGGATCGTGTTCGTCGTTTCTGAATGAGTAGATGGCCCGCTTCAGGGCTTGTTTGGTTCCGTACCCTCGCTTCCTGAGACCAGGCGCAGTAATGGCGAATCTCTTTTTCCAGTATGCCGACAGGACTTTCATGAGAGATATCAGAGGGTCCCCGTTGCTCATATCGGCTTTGCCCTTCTCCAGACGCTGACTTGGTCGTCCCCAATCTCTTTCCTTCCGTGGGTCAATTGGCCTCTTGCGCTTCCGGTTCTGATCCTCCTTCGGCTGGGGCTCTACTAAGCCACTAGCCTTTCTCCATTTGTCGACTTCTTTTCGAATCTGCGGTGGCAACTGGTCCACCAGTGTCTTCTGAACGGTCTTGTCGCATATCCACTTGTTTCGAATCGCGTTGTGCCATAGCAAAAACTGAACGTGCATCTTGTGTGTCCGCACTCTGACCTCCTTCTCCCGCTTAGACGGGCCCTTTTTGCCCTTGCTGGCCGCAGCCGCCGTGCCGTAATCGATCTCATTGTCGTCCTTACGAAAGACCAATTCAATGGGCCCGTCCGCCAACGGTGTATGTGTCGAAGACTCCGGAGCGGTGTTCGTGTTCCCTGCAGCATCTTCCCATTCTATGTCCTCGTCCTCGTCCTCGTCATCATCATCATCTTCTTCCTCCTTATTTGGCTGAGCACCCTGACGCAGGTTGGCGGCTGCAGGTACATCTTCGAATTCGTCGCTGTCCACCTCACTAAGGCTTGAGTCGGAATCATCGCTGCCCACTGAGAAGACTTTCTTTCTGTCGACGCCGGGAATATTCCTGGATTCAGCATCCAGCACATCTGTCAGTCTCACCTTTTTTGCCGACTGAGGGTGCGGCGAGGCCGGTGGCGTAGATGAGAGCTGCTTGCGGGGAAGAAACGGCGGCATTACGAACGGCCGGACCAAACTTCAGACACTGTATCATGGCCATAGGCATGCGCATTGTACTGAGAGCCTGGCACTTTTTTCAAGAAAGCATGCTCGGTGACTGCGTCAAAACTCGATTTGCGATGACTGGTATGCGTACCTGTCCGGGGGTGAATACCAGTTAGGTGGTGACGTCGACTATTGGCTCGTTCGGGAGAAATGTACAGGGAGCAATGCGCCTATCTCTGGCCTTAGGAGCCCCAATTTTTTGGCTCGTGCAGGCACCGCGGGGGCCTAGGGAGGCATGGTAAGCTGGCAGATCATCGACCAGCCCTGACCTGGTGCCTGAAAATCTTCTTCGTATGTTTCAAAGAACAACCTACTAGGAACACAAGCAAACGAGTGAACAAGAACTTTCGATACAATGTCAGTCGAAGAATCATCCACGATCCAAGACGCGCAGTCGGATTCTCTACGACCAATTCACACCTACCATTGCCTATGTACCAGCGTCGTTCTCGCCACTACACATGAACTCGAAACACTACCTCATCGCGCCTCGCCTGTCCAGGACAACGCATTGATTCTTGCCCCTCCAGTCGAAGTCACTGTGTCCGATGATGATTTACGGAAAAATGTCAAACCAGCATCCTCTTTCCTGGTGAACACCGTCCCGGACCGCAGACCTGTAATTGTACGGCGGGAAGATGGCTTTGAAAAGAGAATGCTTCTTAGATGTGGCAGATGCAGGCTGGTCTTAGGATACAAACTGGATGAGGCACATTTCGAGAAGTCGGCGCCAGAAGCCAGTCCAGTCTATCTGCTACCCGGTGGCATGCTTAGCACTAACGACATGGCAAGCAAAAGAAAGGCACAAGTTCCTGCATGGGCGGAGCGGATAGGAGGAGATTGATACAACTCGAGTTGGAAAAGCGGCTTTTACTGAATTTTGTCATGTTCATTCAAGATACCCCCAAGCGAAGCACACAGGCGGAAATACCTTCCAATGCACTGGTGTGTAATTCTCAAGCTTTCAAGACCTTCGCCGGCCAAAGCATTTCACGCCAACAAAACCATGCATTGCTCCCTGCGCCCAGAAACCATACGCTCGTAATCAAGATCACAACGCGGAGCCATAACCCAGTGCATTCAGTTCGCTAGGATCGTCCGGACGAGTTCCATGTAGTTGATCTCTCCACTGCTGGTGTCGACGGCCTTCAATAACTCATCGACCTCTTCATCGCTCATCTTCTCGCCCAGATTGGTAAGGATGTATCTTAACTGGCCCACTCCGATGAATCCAGTCATGTCTTTGTCAAAAACTTGGAATCCGCGACAGTACTCTTCGGGTTCGCCTGGGTCTCTGAAGCCGCCAGGTCTGTTGAGAACTTTGCTGAAAGCATCGAAATCGACTGTCCATGAATTAGCGCGGGATATCTCGATAAATCGCATCGCTATGTCTTACAATCACCGCCCACTTGCTTTTCCAAATCCCTGATTTCTGCGAGCGTCGGGTTCTGTCCGCAGGCGCGGAGGAGGTCGCCAAGTGAATCGAGGGCAACACGGCCGTTGCCGCGCTTGTCGTAGAGGGAGAAGGCTTCTTTGTAGTTGGTGGAGGTCTGCGAGGAGGATTGATGATTAGCCATGGCGAATTGTAAGAGCGTTTGGAGGCAATAAGAGTATTGTGAACGGGGATTGAAGCAGGTAGCAGCGATGATGGCGATGTTGTAGTTGTTGGAGGGTGGCCTTAGGTGTTGTGTGGTTGTTGATGGGCTGCGGGTGAGTCTCTGCGCGTTTGGCTGCTCCTTTTGCTGGTTCCCGCACGGGAAGGTCATCGGACGAATAGCAAGCAGCAACTCACCATCTTGATTCTGGCTGCAGAGTGATCAACAATCTGGCACTTTCTAGTATTGCAGTTCGAGAACAACGAAGTTCCAAGCGTTGTCGTGTGTAGTTGTAGTTGTATACTCAGGTGCGGTGAAGTGTAAAGACGATACTCTCCTGAAGCAGAGAAGTAGCGTAGCGTGTGCAATGCAAGTTGTTGACACTTGGGATTTTTAGTTCACCGCCTGCGACCCCCTGTTGAGGCGACGCGGTCACCCAGCAACAAACAAGCTACACACTCGGAGAATGAAACGTTCGGTCTCAATTCCACCCTCTCTCAACCCAGGCCTGTATTTCTGGTTTCAAGTTCTTCATGCTCCGTACCGTGCAGCCTATGCTCGCTTTCCTGCTTTCTTTGTCCCCAGCGAAAAGATTGCATTTGCAACAGCCATACAAATCCTCAGTACTCGCTGCTGCCGCTTAGGCATGAGTCGAATCAGAACCTCCATCCCAGCGAGTTTACAGGGTCCGGTGGCATGCTAAGATCCCGGCTTGACCGAAATGCACTGATGGCCCCAACGCAGTCTCCTGACGCTACTCATCGTTCTACACTTTACCCAGGGAGCTCTGCTATCTCTTTAATATCTCCAGGTGCTGGAGTATCACTTTCTACCTACGTTATTCCCTCAAGAACCCGGATCCCGCGGCCGTGTCCAACTCCACCAGCCAAGTCTCTCTGGAAGAATCTGGCTGCGGCCATCTGGACATTATTGGATGGGCTGGGGTAGGGGTGACGAGATGGACAGGGAATTTCTCGGGGTTAGTGATCGACCCAAAAGAGATTGATCGCTTTACCTGCTTTGGGTCTCGTGCTGTCCCTGCTTGGACCCTTACTAACATCACTGGTCCATTTCAACACGTTGGTTATCAATACTCGGCCAATATGGAGGGTTACATATGCCTCTTTTCATCAGTGGCACCAACGACATTCCAGCACGCGGCTGGAGCTATTCCCTATGGTTAAATTCCTGCTTCTAGCCGGTGGAGCAAAGGGTAGTGCCATCTCCCGTCTTGTCAAGGAGCTTGATAAAGGTAAGACTCCTGTTGGATCACTCTATCCACAACTCGCGCAATGGCATAATCCCTCCCCACTACAACTCATGAACTGATAAGGATCGTACATACCCTTTGGATCTGGATCTAGTCAATCGTCTGAGAACTCTCCCATATTATTTACTACACAGTATGATCTCCTGCTAGCCCTGAACCTCATTGCACTGGATAGTATCAGTCCAAAATGTCTACGCAAAGCAAAGGCAGCCGACCGTCCCTCGCACGAGTACAATCGTGCTCTGGTTCGTCTGCCGACTCCACGAATTTCAGCTCTGAGATGCACTTGAAGATCACGAAACAAATGCGAACACAACAAGACCGTTGGACTGCATGGCAGACCAAACAGATGCAGGCTTACCAAGAAGCTACACAAAAAGAGTCTCTACGCCGTCGCATCACTTCTAAAAGACCACATATCCACCTTGACAGGATATCATCTACATTGCGTCGAATCCGCGCATGAGATATTTACGAGCTCGACGATTTTGAGCGTTCATTTTATCATCCAGGAGCTGCAAGCATAGTTGCTGATTGAGGGCTGGCACAAAATGTTTCATGTGACCACGAATTCACGATCTATTATGACACCTTGTCCGCGATGCCCAACCATCACAACACGCTACCTCCCAGGAGTGAAGTCCGAACTATGACCGGTTGTGACAGCATATGTGTGGGAAGGAATGAGTATCTTTGACGCCCAGATGTGCGATCACGTGGCACCCCTACTTACCACTGGAAGCTCTTCATGGTAACATGGCAAGAGGCATGTCCTCTGCTTGACTATTGAGATTGGTCTCAGCACGTGATTGTCGGAATACCCTCACGAGCTATGATTTGCCGTGAGAGTGATCGATGAGTTACTCGCCATATTCGGCGTTGGCCTCATGGAGAAAAGCATATCAACACACCTAGCCACTTTTTTCGTCGGCTGAGATACGGTCCTCGTTTCTCACCAGTCTGGACCATTACTCTGACTGGCATTCATTGGATGGATTGTCTTCCTGCTGGACATTTCCTATTCACGCCGAATCCTCTTCACAATGGCTCGTCTGCATTTCTCATCCTCGGCTTCTTATTCGACATGGGCCCGAGCTAAAAGGCAGTCTAGTGAAGGGCATTTCCTGAGTTGAGGATGGTTGACGACCTGCAACTTATGCCTCTCACTGTCGCGGCATCCGGGCTTCGTGCGGTGCTGTACCGATGGACTGGCTACCTGAAAAAAGCCGCTTAAGGGAGCAAGGGTTATATCATGAACCGCACGCTGCCGGCGTGCTGCCGGAAACCCTTCATCGTGCCTGTCTTTGGTGCATTCTCATTGCAGTCATGACTTGCACGAGTTTCGAATTATGTGACATGTCGAACGGGCGGTACAAATAACATGGAAAAGCCGGTTGTGTCATGAGTGTCATTGCTTTGTCGGGTAGCCCTCATAGTCCTCAAGTCATTAGGTACTTATTTTAGTCACCTGAAAGAATTACAACTTCTGCCTGACAATTTCCTTGCCGGCTTTGCGCAAGGCATTCTCGCCGTCAACCAGTACGCACCACCCCTCTCCTCCCACGGTGCCATTTTCGAATCCCCCGACGGCCGACTCGAAGTTCTTCTTGGCGAACTCGAGGTCCTGGTCTTCAAAGCTACCAGGCTGCAACCAAACAGCCTTGACGCCGGCGGACTTGGCTTCCTGCAACAATTTCCTGGTGATTGCAGGCGGCGTGAGGAAGGACAATGCGGTCTGAGCCGGGTGAGGTAGTGCGGAAATCGACGGGACCGTCTCGTATGTCCTGGAAGGAAGCGATATTGACGGTCGACCAGGGTTAATGGGCGTCACATGGAGCGAGTGAACGTGATACCATGCCAGAACTAGTAGAGCGAAAAAGAAAGAGGTCAATCTAATCTTGACCGTGGATCAAGGGACAGGACTCGAATCACATGCCAGAGGTGGCAACCTACTCTTGTAACCAAACTTGCTTCTGTCTTGACTGGCGCCCACGACGGCGAAATATGGCGATGAGAAAAAGCGCTTGGCCGCGGCCTCCATGGTTGATAAGATCGTGCACAAGTCGGTGCACGCTTGTTTCTGTGCCAAACTTGAATTCAAGGGGAATTGGGACGGAATAGGATATGCCTGCTTCTCATGCTATTGCAAGGTCGAGGCCAAACGTGAAATATAACAGACCTCACCCTGACCGAGGTGAACAGCCACTGTGGCACAGCAAGCACGTCAGCACCGGCTCTACTTACGCCGGCGCGGGTTCAGTCTCATCTTTGCCGCCGGTCATACAATAATAACCACGTGATGAGGCTTTCATTTGGCGTCGGGTCCTGCCAGTGATGGGTTTGGCTACCTTTTTATTGGTTTACTCCGAGTCTACAACTTGAATACGATGTTGTACTTTTATCACCGGCACGGCACGTGCGGGATAACAGTAGCTGCCAGGTAGGTAGCATTGTACATTACACTGCCAGTGTACTGCAGCGTACCTGTAGACTGGTACCTCGCCCAGCATTCAAGCAGGTTCAAAATACGCGGTGAGTACTAGTAATGCGAATTGGAGAATCCCAGGCACCTGAATCATCCAATCTCTCGCACGCACATTGCGCCTTCTGGGATCTCAAAGAGTCTGCCTGATCGAGCGTTGTTATTTTCATTCAGACCCCCGGCTTCGTGTTGGACGGTTTTATCAAGCTCATTGCCTCGGCCTTCCTAAAGATACTAATAAGGCCAGTCTGGTTGGACCCCCGTTCAGGGAGCTTCTTCACTTGCATACCACTGAGCTGTGTTGGTTTCAAGGCGTCGCGGGGCCCGGCCTGTCTCTATTTCCCACAGGCAAGAGGGAAACCCCTCGTTCCCCTTCCAGGTCGCCCCGACCTGCTATTACTCCTTCGGTTGAATCCAGGAGCGTTTATTCAACAACAACAACAGCAACAACAACAAACCAATAGCACCGGCATGCAGGCTTCGTATCTCCTTCGGAAAACCAATAACGCACGGAGGAAGCCCTTCCGATATGGTTGACATCACACTGTGGCTGGTGTAGATGTGGAAGAACTACTGTGCAATAATGTGAAAGGTACATCAACATTGTGGCTGTGGCGACCCGGAGCCGACCTCGAACGGCGCATTCCGCCAGAACACAGCCAACCGCATCCTTTGCCTTGCGCTGCAAACCGGGGTGCCTCTACGGTTGTCTTCTTACTACCCAAGATGGAGTTTTGTCAATCCACATTGAACACCACGGCCGCAGTTTTTTTGCCAACTGCTTGCGCCTACTGTCTGACAAGGGCATCAAGTATACCGAATGCCCCTCCAAGCCTCCTTGACAGATGACCTGACCAGCGGTCCTTTGTCGGCGCTTGAAACGGCGGGCTGACCGCAGCATATCCGAAAGTCGTTGCAAGATACGCTCTGTTGAACAGCTGTGCACCTTTCTCAAGAGGTGGTCAAAATGAAGGCCTCCACCATGAGTTTCAGCGATGGTGGCGCCGACCTTGGATCACAAATTTCCTATGACCGTGACTGTATATTTATTGCGACGCTCCCCCACCGTCATTGCAGCCGGAGGATTCTTTGGCAACTCTATGAGCATAATGGCGGCTGAGTCCCCACCGTCAAATCACCCTCGAGGCATGAACGGATTGGTTCACCGTACTATCTTCCGAAGGACTCGGAGTCCCCCTATTCCTGGTTCTACTACTGTTTGTTGCTGTTGCCCTCCTTTTCTTCAAAATTTCCATGATAGAGGCAACAGTCTGGCGGACTCCTTGTGCAGAAATCTCCGTGAAGCAGGTATTGAATCTTTCATTGAACACCGGAAACACCAGGTGACCTTGAAGAAACTCCTGGAAAAGGAGCAGAAGAGACAGTTGAAGGCACATGGGAAAGACGAACATTTGCCGCGGGCATTTTTTGATGCAACAGGGGCAGAAAAGAAGGATGCTGTCAGCGGAGGCGACACGCTACCATCGTACAAGATCAGCACCAGAAGCATTGCTTCTCAAATCGTGAAGGACCTCAGCTTCAAGCGGCCTCTTCGGATTTGGAAAGTCAGTCATTGTGTGGAGCAGTCTGCTTCGCCGGCGGATCCCCCAGCCTCGTACCCTGGTGACCTCAAATGGCCCATTCGAGCCTTCCTAGATCGAAGCCCACCTACGCTGTGTGTGGATGCTGCTGAGCTTCCCGCCGAGCTTTCTCAAAATACGCCGTTCCAGAATGCTACACGAACCCAAGACAACGAGCCTGAGGCTGCACTGGACGACACGTGTCAAACCGTCAAGAAAGTCAGATTGCTTGGGTTCAAAGCGAAATCTGATGTCTCCCCTCCTTCGCGTTCTATGAGGTGTGCCAAATGCCAAATACTTATACGACCTGACCAGTTTTATTACCACTGTCCGGGCTGTGAGCACCCCGATGGCGTCCTCTGCTCGTTATGTGGTCAAGCTGGTTGTGGCTGTTCGCATACGACCACGGCGGAGGTCCGGAGTGAGGCTCGGATTGAACTGCCAGATTGGAAAGGCCTGGCTGCGCGAACTGGAGAGCGAAGCCATTGCAAAGCTCAAGATGGTTCTGTGACAGCCGGGGAGGTGAACTTGGCAGAAACATTTCAAGAGGACATTTCATGTCAAGCAGAAGCCCTTGTGGAAGACCAAGTGGCTTTCCACAACACTACCGGCCAAAGGCAGTCCAGAGAGCGATTTTCTGGCATTGAAGGCAATATGAATGCTGACGGTGACCATGTCGGAGAGACTGAGCTTCGGCAGTATGACCGCGTCATAACTTCACGCGAAACGGAGCTCACATTACCAGATGAAGAGACCGCAGTAAGAGAGCGACAATCTTTACTCAAAGAGCAGCAACAGTTGTTCGTCCTTCTACCGCAGTCCGCCATGGCGAAGCGGACAGAAGAGGCGTCCGCTGGCATCGGTGCACAGTTTCGAGATATCGGTACGGTAAGTGTCCGGCTTCCAACTTCAAGGCCCCGGTTGCCCCCACGGACCTGTAATCGCGCTTTGCTTTTGCTGATTCTGGCTGCTAGGATGATCACGCCAAAAGCTATGGCACGAAGCGTAAAGCGGGTGGCGACGGGTCGTCCATATCCCCTTCCAACCCCACAATGTTGATCAGGCCTAGTCTCTTAAAGCGCTCTCCCAATAGACGTCGAGATTCCAATGATGAAGAGGAGGAAGACACTGCTGGTACACCCAAGAAAGTCAAGCCGACATTGGATTCTCTCCGTACACCGAAGAGGCTGTTCGCTTGCCCGTACTCAAAATTCGACAGATCAAGATACTCCGAACACAACCGCCATGAGAAGAACTACCGGGGCTGCTCGAGTGGGTACTGGCCTGATATCTCTCGCTTGAAGCAACATCTATACCGTGTTCATTGGCGGGGTATCCATTGCGTTCGCTGTTACGCCAAGTTCGAAAACAATGATCTGCTACAGGCACATATGCGTTCGGAGCCCTGTGGCCTTGCAGATTGTCCATATCCTGAAAAGTTCGATGACGCCCAATATAATGAAATCAAAAGAAAGCGACCAGGTATGACACCAGAAGAGGTCTGGCACACTATCTACAGAGTCCTCTTTCCCGGCCACGCCAAGCCAGACAGTCCATACGCTGACGATGTTGCCACCACCACGTCGCTCTCGACCCCCAGTCCGCATGCGCTAGAGTGTCAAAGGATAACAGATGCCCTCGGAGACGTTTTCGAATCCCGTCTAGATCGGAATCTTGCGTCTCCGAGCCACGCCTGGCTGCGGAACCCGCAAGCTCGGGAGTTTATTCATCAACAATTGCGGGCGTCTGTCGCAGAGGTATTCGAGAGGTTGACTCCTGCCTCCGGCTCTGCTATTACAGATTCCTCTGTTGAAGTCTCCCCACATTCATCAGTGGCCGCGAATTCGGCGCGCACGGCCTCATATTCGCTAACTCCGGTCTCGTCGGTATCTGCTTCACCGTTGTATGAACATTCACGGCGGGGAGCGCGATCGAATCCACAATTGCCGTACTTTAACCATTGCCAGAGTTTCAGCCGAGCACTTTCCCTCAGAACGTACTTACATGGCACCGCAGTCCAGCAAGCTCCCACAACAGAGCCGATGCAACTATCTGCTAACCAAATCTATTCTGACGTGGGCTCTGGTTCGACTGAAGTAGCATTTTTCCCACCTTCGGATGTTGACCACGAAAATGATCCATACGATAATGAATGTAGCAGCTTGCGCCACGGCGATGAGCTCGGCCTTGCAATGCCTACAAGTTTCCAAACAGGATTTAATACCAACCTCCCCTCAAGGTTCGTTGAAGTTGGTCCATGGCGGGGGCCCACGATGCAACCTCCAGTGCTCGGCCAGGGATATATACCTGCATACCATCCCAGGGTACCCGAACCGCGGGATGCGGCGGGCTCAACCAGCACCTCGCAACTGAAGACGAATCACCCGATACCTCCACCGATCAACTCTGGATATGGCAGTGTCGGACAGTCTTCAGTCCGCTCAGCTCCCTATCCTAGCCCTGCGGCATCCAAGACCACAGACACCAGACCAGGAAGGGCGGACATGAAAGGAACAGAAAGGCCTGGGGGTGGAAAACCCGGTCCCGTTCCAGAAGCAGACTTCAATTTCGATGATTGGCTTGCGCCATTTCCATAGGTCTCTGGTGCAATAGTCATGGATGACTTCGAAATATGTCTGGCCCGACTCTCTCGATTTACTTGGATTCGAGGCATTTGGCGTTTCAGGGACTTGATAATGTACAATATGAGCGATAGGACTTAATGTCCAACATGAGTGGATATTACAGCCAATCCAGCCTCCTGAGGACTTGTTTGACCAACAGTGGTGAACTTCGCTGGAAAGTATGAAGTCAACGCCTGTGTGAGAAGGATGAAAGTATTTACATCATACTCAGAGGTCGCCAGTGTCAGAAGAGAGAAGCGAGCACGCAATCGACTTGGATATATTGTGGTATCGATATATAGTGGTATCAAATGCAGTGCCTTTTTGTTTCAATAGTGAGAGACAGTTGGTTCAATCCAATGCTCGAGTCGTGTCGATTTACTAAGGCCTTGATTCTTTCGTCAGACGCTGGCTGCCCGAGGCTGGCCTCCAGTGTTGCCGATACAACGGACAAAATGGACAGCGTCAGACAGAATCGTTATCTGTTGGTCCGTGAATTTGGTGACACTTCAACCCTGTCGAACCTCACTTCTTTCCCAAATCCATGACTTGTCTGGTGAGAGCCTGGAAGGGATCCATCAATGTTGACACGATGTCGAAGACGGCCCACGAGTGGGTTTCTCAACCTTTCCTTTCCCTTCCCTATGGTTGTTTCCATTAATCTCTCACATTGCATTTGCTTCGGCGTTCTCATCCGTTGGACTGTGACAAATCTGCCGGATGTCGACCTGACATCATAGTGATTGTACGGGTGAATTTACATCATCACCACAATTGAGTGCACAATGTTCACGGTGCCGCCTCTACAAATCCACGCTTTCCTCTTGTTCCAGCGTTCATATGATTCATAGGTTCTAATCTCTTAGACCACGGCGATCCGATCCTCTCTGTTTTCCCTACGCAAACATGGCCGACTCGGTAATCCAGTTAAAATGCAACTGCAACAACTATCCCTGGGGCAAGACCGGGCGACAGTCCCTGGCAGCTCGGTTATGCGAGAAAACGAACCCCGACTTCAAGATCGATGAGAGCAAGCCGTACTCGGAGATGTGGATGGGAACATACCCTGAACTACCGACATACTCACTCGAGACTGGCGAAGACCTGCAACAGATCCTGAACAAGAACAAGGAAAAACTGATTGGAAAGAAAGTGCTGGACAAGTTCGGGGCCGACCTGCCATTCCTACCCAAGGTGCTCTCGATTGCAAAGGCGCTCCCACTCCAGATCCACCCGGACAAAGAGCTGTCGGAGAAACTGCACAAGGAGGACCCCGAGAAGTACACAGATCCAAACCACAAGCCCGAAATCGCTGTCGCACTGTCGCGATTTGAAGCGTTCATCGGGTTCAAGCCGGTCGCGGAGATTGAGAAATTGTTGCAGTTGGACAGCTTGAAACAGTTTGTGCCCGCGTCAGCATCGGCGTTGCAGCTTGACGACGAGACGTTACGCCAGGTCTGTGCGAACATGCTCAAGGCGTCCGAGGATGCCGTGGCTTCCGCGCTCAAGGGACTTCGCTCGACTAGCCCAGAGCAGTTGGGGAACCAGCGATATATTCTCGACCTGATCCCCCGGCTGGAAGAGCAGTATGGTCGCGAGGATAATGGCAACCTGGTCGCGCTGGTGTGCATGAACTATGTGGTATTGGAGCCAGGGTCTGGGCTGTATATTCCGGCCGACGGCATTCATGCTTATCTGTCCGGCGATATTGTGGAATGCATGGCTCGCTCCAATAACGTTATCAACACGGGTTTCTGTCCCAAACCGGACCGTGACTCGGCCGACCTTTTCACAAAGGCTCTGACTTTCAAGCAGCATGATCCTAGCGAACCCATGTTGGAGAAGAAAGCGTCCGACAAGAGCGTCAACGGCAAGAGTTTCGAGTTCACACCCCCGATGAGTGAATTCAACATGCTCGTCACCAACCTCGCTGCCTCGGAGTCGGAGTCAATCAAGCCCGTCTTTGGCCCCAGTGTCATGTTCGCCACTAGCGGACATGGCAAGATGACCGTCGAAGGGAAATCCTTCACTCTTGATGAAGGCTATATCTATTTCATTGGCCAGGGTGTCCGCGTCGACATCACTGCCGCGGATGGGCTGTCCGTGTATCGGGCATATGCTGAATGAGTGGATGAACATTGAACTCCTGAAAAAGAAGCCATGATATATGATATGACATGAGTGTTTAGGGTTTAGTTTCCTTCGATGCCAGTACGGTGGTGTTGATTTGTAAAGGCATCGGTACCAGTTGTGGAGTGGTCGAAGGACATATTCTTAGCGGCCAAAAAGACTACAGGTTGTATTACAGTAATAAATTGTGATGCAGAGAGTAAGAACGTGACAACAACTGTCTGATTGTGGCAATGCTTAGCATGGCGTGTCTTCGTCGCATATTGTTGATACAATCATCCAGCCCGGCTCTTCCTTGTACTCTGGGCCACAGGGCCAGGGGGTTCAGTCCATTGTTGATCTGTTTTTCCCTTTCTTCGGGTTCTCATCTCTCCGGAAGCCCATCTCATTGCCTTGTGGCTCGCTGCATTGCTTGTGACTACCAACCACCCCACCCGTTGTCCATTGACGACATCCTGATGCTCACGCTCAATCAATTCGCCGTCATAGAACTAAGCCCATAATCCGCATGGACAGTCGGCAACCCAATCGAAACGCCAATGTTGGGCGCAAACGCTCCAATGAAGTTTCCTAACAGACACAAAAGTTAGGAGTCATCTTGCCAATCATTCAAATGATGACAAAAATGGCCATGTTCATGGTCACACGGAACCATGGACACTTCTTTTCATCAAAAGGGGAAGAGGAGAGAAGTCAACATACCAGGCGGCGAATAATTACAAACCGTAAAATAAGGCGGCACTCCACTCCCAACATTCTGTAGTCCCGTCGCCGTACAATCGGCCGTATAGCATCCTACGGAAGTCGTGCTCTTCCACACAATCTGAGTGAAATGGCCCCATTGGTTCAGTTTGCTGGTGTCCGGTTCACTACCGTATGAGACATAGTTGTTGACTTCGCTGTTATATAGACCTTCGGTGACGAAGTTGCCCATACCCAAAGGTGTGGCTGGGTATCCGGCGCCGATGTTTTGCCCGTAGCCCCCGCCGTTGATATTTCTGTTTCACGTTCGTGTCAATATATATGAACTATTTCGCTTCGCTTCGCTTTCGGGGGAAAACTGGGTGGTGATTGTCTTACGTAACATGACCATAGACACAAGTCTGGGCAATCACTCGAGCCGTCTCGGCCATGGCGGGCGACCAGGTCAATGCGGATGCGGAGTGGTTGGTGCGGTGGATGTTGTGGTGGACTAGGATGGCGTTGATGTATGCGTCGTTGGTGACGGAGGGAAGGAGACTTGTTGATGACGTTGTGGTGGAGGTGATGAAGGTGGTGCTTGAGACTGGTGGTAGACCCGTCGAAGAGGTGAGAGTCGGGGTAGTAGTGGTACTGGACGATGGCGTGATGGTGTTATCTGGAAGAAGAACAGAACTAGTCAGACTTGGACTTGTTGTTGTTGTAACTGAACTCGATGATGATGACAAAGTAGAGGAGATCCCGATCCCGTCCAGAATGTTTGTGGTTGTTGTTGTTGGTGTTGTCGTCGGACATGGACATGTTGTAATGGTTTCAATCACTGTTGCTGTCAGGGTGGTTGTATAGCTGTAGCTGATGCTGACGCTTTGGGCTGTTGCTGCCAGGGCAAGGGTAACACCCAGAAGACGGTGAGATTGCATGTTGAAGTCAAGCACGAAAGGAATGAATGAATGAATGAATGAATGAATGGACTGGTGATGACCAGAAGGGAGCGAGAGCGAATGTAAATGAGTGACTTCGCACGACCACTAGGTTAGTTTGCGGGATAGAGAGTGTCCAAGTTCAAGTTCGAGGTTGGCGAAAAGTGTTCGCGTTCAAAGTTATGCTCATATTGAATGAGAAATGGCCACATTCCTTAGAGATCAACATTCGCCCTGCAGGCATCGGGCGGTCGCCAGGGCGAGACTCCGGAGATTTCTTCATTCCGACGAGGTCAATGTGCCCTGTCTTGCCAATCTGGAGTCCATTACGAAATGTGTTGAAGATAATGTGAAATCTCAAATACCCACGCTGCCATGTCGTCTTCGATTGAACAAGCTGCCATTCACACAGGACTTGGAGCCGCACATGCAAACTGAAGGAATTCGGGATGGTACACCTCCTTCAGTTCCTTCAAAATATATATCATCCCGTCGATTGAGGCCTGAGGCATTGAACAACATAAACAAACCGTGCTGAAAGGTGCTGGCATTATTTTGTATAACCAAACCAATGTTGAAGTCACGAAGGATGGGCCAGGATGAAGTGCTTGTGCATTGTCCTTATGCAGCCACTGTCGAAACTATGGCACAATCAGAAGTGTGGATACAACACCATCAGGCTGTACGAGGTACAGAAGGTGACGATGGTTTCATCGCAGATGCAGGTCACAGAAGGCCAGGATTAATGAATAGAAGAGCTTTCAATTGACACTTTGGCTTGAAAGGGAGCGTTATCGATAGGCGGCATGCTTACATCAGCTAAAGTGGGACTGTTACCACGGCACGGCCCGTCAAGAACCTGCAGTAATTCTGGTCTCTTCATTGGCTGTTCGGACAGTCGGTATTTTTCCTTGCAATTGCAGGGCAGAAAAAACAAAAACAGCAGAGCGAGCGAAACGGTTCCCGACCGGAAACTGTATCTATCATTCTTGTCCGCTCACCTCTCACAATCATCTCCTCCTCCATGTATACACAGCCATAATCGTCACCGTCATGCTCTAAGCGAACCCATCAAGTCGCACAACCGACTCCATCCTCACTTTCTGGGCGAAATCCTGCAAACCCGGCGGCCATGGATGCGCAAGCCCACCTCCTCTCCCTCGGCTGGGCCGGGCCCGGCCACTCACTCGACTCGCGGCCCTACAAGCAAAAGGGCCATCGTGGACTCGCTTACGACCCAGCAAAAGTCGGCAACAACGGCAACGGACTCGTAAAACCGCTCCTGATATCCCAGCGCAAGGGACGACTGGGGATCGGCAAGAAAGCGCACGAACCGCAGGCCGGGAATCAATGGTGGTTGAAAGGCTTTGAGAGCGCCTTGGGCAATATTGGCAAAAGCGAGAGCGAGAGAAGTAGCGGAGCCAGCACGCCTGTCGCCCAACACCCGCAAAGCGGCAAACATGGCTGGCTTTACAGTTTCTTTGTGAAAGGCCAGGACATGCAAGGGACGATTGGCCGACTCGATGATGTAGACCAAGGCGACGGGGTACGGCCCAAGAAAAGAAAAAGCGATGTCCTAGATGAACAACAATCGATAAAAGAAACGGCTGTGGACGGATCCAAGAAAAAGCGAAAGAGAGACGACAGCAAAGAAAAGGCAGTGGCCGAGTTCGAACAGGTCAGCACGTACATTGCCCTCCGGGACAAGGATGAAAAGCGTAGGCGGAGGACTGAAAGGCCCAGTCCTGTCGAGGAGTTCCGCCAGGTCAGCGAATACATGGAGGTTCGGTCGGGAAAGAAAGACGGCAAGAAGAAAAAGAAACGGCATGGACAATCTGTGGAGGAAGCGCATGTTTCGGAAGGAACAAGCACGCCTGCTGTTACAGAAGGAGAAGGAGATGAGACTGGACGTGCTGTAGAAACGAAAGAAGAAAGGCGAGAACGGCGCCGGCGCCGGAAAGAAGAAAAGGAGAAGAAGAGGAAAAAGACAGCGTCACAGGGCGACACTACCACGGCGGAGGACGAAGCAGTCCGAGACGGCAAATCCAAATCACTCGGTCGGCATAAAGAGGCTGATGAAACAGCGGATGATGCCGCTGCCAAAGCCGCTCGCCGCGCGGAGCGGAAAAAGAGGAAAGCAGAAAAGGCCGCCAAAGCCGGATGAACTCGAGTTATCTAATGGCCTCGGGGTTGTCAAAATGCCGGCGTTACAATCACATGTAATGATTTCGATGAATGTGAAGCGACTTCTACATTTAGTATCACTGTTCAATCAGAGCCCATGGGCTGAATTGGTATATAACACAACACGGTCTGAACTCTCTTTTAGGACGCACCTCTTCATTTCAAGACTAGGAGTCGATTCATTTCTCCACCAATCTTCCCGGCTTGCCGCTCCGAATCCATGGTCGCTGGAGCCAAAAGTCATCTTTGATAATGTCGACATGCCTCGTCACGACCTTTGCCTTTTGCCTGGCCTTCTTAATTTTTTCAGCCTGGGTTTTCGAAATAGGGGCTTCAATTCCGCGGCCGTGATCTTCCTCCTCTGCCTCGATATTCTCATTCATCCCTTCCAGGGCAGCCCCACCGCCTTCGAGCTGCGTTGCAACCTGACTACCACTAGTCTCTCCTTCGGCATTTTTGAGCCTGCTGCTACCAGTAGTGCCTTGTTCAAGCGCATATTCTCGGTAAACGACGCTTCCCTTGCGAAACATCTCCAACTCATTGTTGTAGTTGATGGCGAACCGTGACCAAAGTATCTCATTCTTGTCGCTAGACACAGTTCCCTTTAAAAACTCCTCTGCGGCGGTCGGGCTCATGCCGCCTTGTTGGACCAGGGCCCAGAAGGTCGTGTTGTAGAGGTTATTAATGTGGCCTGGAATAACACCGTTAGACATTTCATGTGCCCCTGTCACTTGGTCGAAGCTGCAGCTCCCGACAGAACGGGATTGAGAAAAGCGAACAAACAATCGTGCGTACTTCGAAAGCACACGAAGACGACACCGACAACCCACACGGTACAGCCTTCTCTTACACAATGCTCTCAGATCCGACGCTCCAACTACAGAGCGAAGCGAGCAAACCAAAATCCATCAACGAGCAGTCGGCAAAGAAGAAGAACTTACAATCAACCTGTCTCCAACTCAAATAATCTCTCAAATTCTCCCAGGAGGGATAACACACCGCCCTTCCATCGAATGTGGGCAACATGCTCAAACTCAGACCTTGACCTCCTTCATCTGCTTCACCTTCTTCACCTTCACCATCCCCTTCTTCACTTCGACCACCCCCATTCACAAAAACATCCGGCCAAAGCTTCACATAAGCAGCCGTAAACGCACTCACAATCGTACTCACCAGCTTCGCCGCGCGCCTCTCAAACAAATTCGTCGACCGATGAAACACAAAACTATATTCGTCCGAGACGCCATATGCAATCACAATCTCCGGTATCGACGTTACGACGTACTCAGCGGCTGCGTTCATGAGATTCAAGGCGCGTATGTCGTTGGGTTTGTGGAAGTTGTAGTGTGTTGATAGCCTGAACACCAAAACCTTCAGCATGAGAGACGGAAGAGTTAAAACTGCGACTTGTATACGAAGAGTACAAGTACAAGTACACTTGCACACTTAACTTACCGGTGAAATCCCCGTCCGTCAATTCTGACTACGATCCAAGTGTTGGGCAACAAAATCTCGTCGCGCTCGAAGGCGCGGACGTATTCGTACCTGAATGAATTGGCCGGAGTCCCGTCAGTAGACGCGCCACTCCAGGTGCAGACTTGATTCATATTGAAAGGCTTATGGAAACCCCAAAAATCCCAACTCCTAACTTGGAGGGGAGAATAAAAGGGAAAACTTGACTCCGCCCTGCTTCTGAGCGCACTGCGTGGCGGCCGAACTGACTTACTTGGAATTTGCCATGACACGGATGGGATGATTGTTGTGCCTCGTTTGGTTTTCGTTTCAATCATGTGGCCTCGGAGTCATCGTTCCATCATTCACTTCAAGCAAGCACTCCACTTTCAGACTCAAAAGGATTCGGCAGTATAAGTTGTCCACGCGGAATCAGGTACAAGAAAAGAAAATGTATAGTCTGGGCGGGTGAGCGTTGACTTTATGGGCCACGAGGCTGAGGTTGGCAACAATTATTATTGGCTAGCCTTGTCCAACACTACGTTGGCGTTGGTCCCTTACTTAGATACCCACGCCGGCGAGTCTAGTACAGGATGTGCCAGTCTCTTTGATGTCCTGATACATTCACGAGTGTGACAGTGGTATACCATGGTGAACCCCGCAAAGATGTTCTCTGACTCGCACACTTAGAAACAACAACTTGAATATGATTACTATTCAGCCTGCCAAGCCAGTCTATTGGTCCTGGTGGAACAGATCAATATGAATCCAAATAGATCTGCTACATATGAGGTCTCCTTTTATCCATAATCTCATTCTCATTCCATGCCATGCCATGCCATGCCTATGCCTCGTCATCGTCCCTCTCCTCGCCGGTCTCACTGGCCCTCTCACTGCTCTCGCTAATCTCACTGGCGGTCAAGTCTTCTTTGCCCTTCTTGCTCTTACGCATAAAGTTCCAATTGCTCAAGCTGCTTCGACTTGACTTCTTATCCTCTGCACTAGGAGTGGTCGAAGTACTCTCCAAACTCCTGCCAAGATGTTCAGTTGACCCTTGTTCTTCCTCGTTCTCACCGTTGGGCGGAGCCGCCTCTTTTCTAGAGAACAGACCACCTTTGTCCTTCCAACTTCCAAACTTATTGCTGCTGGCCTTGCGGGTGAGCTTGGAAATAAATGTCGGCTTGACCGGCGTGTTTTCAACGGACAAATTAGCGCTGGTTCCAGAGGCCGTGCGATGAAGAGGCTCAGAGTCAAAGGTAGAGATCGTATTGGTGATGGAACTCGTGTCCCGGGACTTGCGTGATTCAGGAGGAGAGGTGGCTTCCATATCGCCTCCTTTCTCTCTCGACTCTTTTGCTTTGGCTTTGTCTTTGGTCTTCTCACCCCTCTTGCCAAAAAGCATTGTGAAGGATGGTGCCGCAGGATTCAACTTCGGTGTAGACGCCTGTTGTGACGACGTTGGTCGGGTACCAATTGGCGCCTGCAACGGACGACTCGGCTTTTTGTCCGGTTCAATCACTTCTTCGTCGGCTGGGAGAGAAAGATTACTGGTAGATCCAAAAACAAACGAGGGCCGGCGTGAGTGAGTCCTCGAAAAGGAATGCAGCGAACCCCAACCGGGAGCCAAAGGGCTGTTTCGGATGGGAGGCTTATCTGCATTCCAAGCGCGAAATTGGCTCTCTAACGACGGTCGCGGCAGCTTGTCGAACGAGTATGTGGAAGCCGGCCGTGGTGAGGCGGTGTCCGCCCGAAGACCAGGATCAAATGATCCAGACCTGGCACCAAACGGATCGTAGCTGGCGGGAGTAGCGGCTGACTTGCCAAATCCAAGAAAGGCACGCCGAGTAGAAGGAAACCGGGACGGTTCTTGTTCTCTTTCTTCGGGATTTCCATTCCCACGCAGGAGCGTGCCGGGGAAAGCCCAATTTCCACCGTAGCTCAAGCGTCTTCGGGGTTGCGTGGCAGGATCAAACTCGTCCACGTTCCTGGGAAATGATCGGCTTTGTACTGGCTTGAGGCTCCCGAGCGCCGGTGCTTGATCAGCCAGGGTCTTACCCCGCTGACGGCCGAGACCAAACATGGACGACATGGACATATACTTGGCCTTTGGGGGTTGTTGAGCAACTTCATCCTCGCCAGCAGCTTCATCAGTTTTCTGGTTTACGGCCTGGTCATCTGACGCCTTCAGCTCAGATTCTGCAGCCGGGGCGGGGTTTTGAAGCGGACTGGAGAAAGATTTGCTTGATGAAGATTGCGCAGAAGGCGTGTCAGTACGCCGGGCGTCTTCAGGACCAATTGGCGATCCGATCCGGGGGAAAGGCATCGGGCCTGCCTCGGCCAGCCCCTTGTGCTGGCTTACATCATCGGTGTCTAGCAGCTCGTCCGCGGATTCATCTCCAAGGAGATCGGCTGGTAACAAGGAGTCGGCTCGCGGGCTCATCGGCATCGAGCTGGCTGCTTCAGTTTCCTCCACATGTGATGAAGGAATCTCAACAGGCATCGCGAGGGTCATTCCATTCTGTGGATTGAAGTAACTCGGAATCACGGTCGTGGGAGAAGCATTCGCCGTAGAGCTATACTGTAGCGCTGACGGGAAAGGCTCTGGGCCTGCAAACGGACCTCGAGGCGACGATACGCTGCTTCCATGCGAGTTGGTATGCCGTGGCCTGCGGACCGGCCGCATTCCGCGTCGTATAGCGTCCAAATCAAGTGTGGCAGTGGGCGCAAAAGAGATGGTATTGACGCGCCTCGCCTCCAGTTGGGTGATTTGCTCCCGGGTGTAACTGACCTGTTGGTTCGCCAGCTGAAGATCGTTCCACAGTCGTGCGTAGGTCTGTTGGAGGCCGTCAAATCTGGCCCGCCACCTCATATCGCGCTCACGATCCAGACGTTCAGCCTCTCTCGTTTCATCCGTCTCATCTTCGACATTAAGCTGTTTGCGCTCTTCTTCCAGAGCCTTGATTTGAAGCGCCTTTTCTTTATTGTCCTCCTCTAGCATTGCCACATCCTTCTGCTCTTCCTCGATCTTTTTCCGGATCTCCCTAAGTTCACTTTGCGTCCTCCGCTCAATCGCTGCTTTTTGGGTCTCGATACCAGCCATTTCCTCCTTCATCGACGCAATCTGATCTTCCCACTTTGCGATCTCGTCCCTTCGCTTCCTGCGCTGGTTCTCCTTTTGTTGGAGCAGTCTTTCTTTTTTCGTTTTTTCGCTCTGAGCTGTTCGACTGGCCGTTTCCGCCTTGTGTACTTGCTTGCGCAGGTCGCTGCTGGCCTCATCCCTCTCTTTCAAGCTCTGCTTCAATTCGTCACGGCGTGCTTCCAGTTCCTTCAACGCCGCTTCAAACTCCTTGTCTTCTTCCTGGATTTGCGCATCCACAGCCTCGATATCCTGTTGAACCTTTTGAAACCGTTGGGACAATTCGGCGAGGTCTCCGTCGACTTCATCTTCGGCACCTTTGGCGGATGCATCTTGTCCCTGCTGTGACTCGCTGACATGGTTGGCAGGAGAAGGCCTTCGTCCCGTTGTACCTCTTCGACCTGCCTGTTGCCCTCCGCTCAGTTCTCGAACCATGGCCGGGGCAGCCAGAGGTGTAAGAGTCTGGGCGCTGCGCACCGGGATCGCGCGCACCACTGGGCCAGAGTCGGAAGATCCATCTTGCGAGGATGTCGTAGATGAAGGACCGGGAAGACGGACGTGTAGAGCCGCGCTTGGAGTTTGGAAAGTGCCGGCACTGATACAAAACACACGAATATCGTAGACGTGTCCCGGAGTGAGGTTCGATATTATGGCACCCAATTCATTCTTTCTTGTTGTGCCAACAACCCTTCCATTGACTTCAATATGGTGTTCCTGCACTGAGCTCGAGGGCTCCGCATGTTTCCAGCTAACTTGGACCTCCCGGGAAGAGATTTCTTCGAGCGTGACGAGCGGGGTGGGTGGGATATCGAGGCCTAGTTTCTCGACGAGAACTTCATTCGGAGTGGTGATGACTGAGTAGGCGCGATATAAAAGCCTGCATCGTCAGCCGCGAATCCCGCAGGCACATAAGAGAGAATCGTACCATGAGAAAGCCCAAATAACGGCCAACAGCATAACCAGCGCCATGCGGCCTTTAACATTAACACGGGGAGCGAGCAACTGGTAGGCTTGGGAAGCCCAGTCGAATGGCTCTTGATGCCATCTAGATGAGTCCATCCACATAAGCGGTATGGCAGGCATGCGCTCTGAGCAGTTTCCAGAGCAAGAGAGTCGTGGCCAAAGGAGAGAACGGGTATGACATTAAGTTTGCGGTTGCAGTGCTTTGACACATCGAGGTGCCCGTGAGAGATCGAGAGAGTGGGCTCCGCTCCGCAGCCACCGGAGAACTTCAACTTCTCGCCCGTCAAAAGATTGGTTTCCCGCTCCGGGCCTGCGAGCCTTGGCAGAGGTTGAACAGAGAGACACAGATCACAACTTAATCAATATGAGGCACGAAATAGAAGAAATATAGTTGTGTAGGACAATACCAGGTCACGTTTACGCCGCCCTGATCGAGCTCACTACAATGTAGGTACTCCACGGCAAAATGGCAGCTGCCGTCTACTCGGCTTTGGACTCACAACGTTGGAAGTCTCGAGAAAGCAACTCCACGAATCCATGCATTCCTCGGGGTATCTCGGTAGTTATGATCCAAGTCGAAGAAAAGCCGCGCCATAACATCCATTTGTCATTATCGTCTGGCTCAACCCTGCATTTCCGCATCTCCGTCCTTGTCGCCAGCGCCAGCGCCGCCTGCATCGTCTGGGCCAAAAACGTCTTCCATCGTGCCCATGCCTTCGTCATCCTCATCGCCTTCTTTCTCGTCCATCTGCATAAGATTTTCTGGCTCTGGACGGGCTTCTGGCTCTTCTTCAACGCTCTCTTCCCCTTCACTGTCCCATTCATCCTTTAAACCCCATCCCATCCCCGTGAGACAGAACTTCTCATGAGGGAGTCGGATGCCTCCTATCATCGGTCCGCTCTTCTCGCCATCCCTTGCCTGGGAATTGAGGGATATTCTGTTTCTCTCGTCGGCTAAACTCTTCAGGAATTCTTTTGGTAGGCTGGCCTGAAACTGGTGTCCCACCCTCGAGCCTATGGACATACGTAGCGCCGCCAGACTGACATCGCCTTCTTCCGCTTTGGCTTGATTTTGTTTGGAACCCCTTCCTTTCTTCTGGTCTCCTCCTTCTGCTTGGTCATAGGCCTCGTTTTGGATATGCAGTGCGTCACTCAGGACTGAACTCGTGTATCGATAGGCGAAATCCATCAACTGTAGAGGAACTCTTTGCTGGTAAGCTGTTATACCGTGAGAGGCAAGTAACAGGTGTATAAGCCGATGATCTCGGGGCCTCCTTGCGCTTCCATCGTCGGATAATGAGGTCAGTGGCTGGGAGAGAAGCGCCTCCACTTGCGGTTGTGTCGTCGTTTGAGAGGGTTGAGGCGGTTGGGCGGCTTGTGAAGATGGTTCTGCGGGAGGAGTAAGAGGACCAGGAGGGTTGGCCGGTGAACTCATGGTGCGCAGATTCGAGGAAGGGGCTTCAGAATGGGAATCAGGGCGCGGGAGGACTCGTCGTTGAGGGCGTTGCTGCTAGATACGCACCATCGTGACGACGAGCCTGTGGAAGAGGAAGGGCGAGTTGGATATGAGCTCGGTCAGTGCGGAGTGTAGCACACCTCCGGGGAGGCAAACGACACAATAAGTCAAGGCTGTTCTATCGAAGCAGCGAGCTGTGCGACTGTCATGGGAGTGGTATGAACAGAAATGAGAGAAATGTCATGGATACAAGATCCACGGTACAACTTGAATGTTGTAGATGGCCTCGCGCGACAGACACCAGCCAAGTCGGACTTTATTATTGGACGAAAATCCGGGGAATATTAGGGAGCTTCCGACTGATCTCAGCCAAAGCCGAATAGAGATTCTTCACAGCCAAGGTCTGTTCGACACTTACCACAAATGGATGAAGTGTCTAACTTGACGAGACATTTCCGACGTCGACCGTCTCGATCGCTTTACACCACATGACTTCCGATCTTGAATCTCAACAACATCAAAGATTGTTACCTTGAGAGTCTGTCTTTCGGCTTGTCTGTCTGGCCAGGATCCATGCATTCGCCTCTCTGACTCTACCACTTCACTAGACTCCCGCTCGCCGACTTCTCCGAAACGTAGTCAGCTCAGCCTTGTGTCTATTTGCGTCATCCCGCCAGGCAGCCTCGTTATGTCTCAACCATAGTCCAAGCAAGTCCACTCCACGACAATCAATCTGAACGCAGGATCTTGGAGTGATTATATTTCACCTTCGTGATGCAGTACGTTCGAAGCTTGGGGAGTGGCGTCTCCAAGACGTGGAATTCGATTAACCCGGCGACCCTCTCCGGGGCCATCGATGTCATTGTCGTCGAGCAAGAAGATGGCAGTCTAGCTTGTTCACCATTTCATGTCCGGTTCGGCAAGTTCTCGCTTCTTCGTCCATCCGACAAGAAGGTTGATTTTAGAGTCAATGGGGTAAAACAGGACTACGCCATGAAGCTGGGTGACGGCGGCGAGGCATTCTTTGTCTTTGAGACATCAGACGAGATTCCCGAAGCATTGCAGACCTCACCTCTGGTTTCCCCAGCAAATAGTCCACCTATTTCTGCCACCGACAGACCACCGTCTCCTGGACTTACAGAGCCATCATACCTCGACATCACCGAGCCCGAGAAGGGGCGGAGCAGCCCGGACCCGGCGTCGCAGCCCCGTCCCATTCCGCTCATCAGACGCGAAGGCACAAATCTTAGCGAAGGAGGGGCTTATGGCTCGTTCCCAGGTTCCCGCCCCGAGCTACGGGGAAGCGTGACATCTGAGCCAGCGACCCTCACTGCCCATAACCTAGAACGGTCTGCTTCGGAAGAGGTCCTTCCTGTTTCCACGCGGGAGCAACTGGACTCGGAAAGCGAACCATTCCACCACAGAGCGATTCCCATTCCACCTCGACCGAACGTGGATGGGGCGAGCACCCCTAAGTCCTCAGCCAGTCCCCCTGCGCTAAAAGCCAAGGATGCCTATGATCGAGCAATGACGCTGTCCAAAAAGCTTTCCTCGTCCAACATTCGGTCGAAAGTCACCGAATCCGGGGACCTGATGCTTGACATGACCGGCTACAAATCCAGCGAGGAGGAGGCTCTTCGTGCCGAAGCGGTGGCTCGCAAATTGCTTTCAGAGGAGCTGGAAGGGAACTACGACATTGGATCCCTGATCGGATCGGACGAGAAAGGTAATTTGTGGATCTACAGCAGTGAGGAAGCTCGCGAAGCCGCGAACCGGCGAACGGTCAATTCAACTCTCGAGACGGCCAGCGCAGTGTCACCTGACAGCGCGTCTGATCCGGGCTACCACAGCGACAGTGATCGCAGCGCCGCCTCTCCTGGGCTGGCGGCGGCCAAAAGCCATCAGCAAGGCGGCCAACACCAGAGGGCGCAGTCGGAAGAACTGCCATCGGCGCCGCGCATGTCTGCAGAACAAGGGCGGAACTATGCCAAAACCCTTCGGCTGACAAGCGATCAGCTCAAGGCGCTCAATCTCAAACGGGGTGAAAACCAAATGTCATTCACGGTGAACCGGGCCACTTGTACAGCTTACATGTTCTATTGGATGTATGACGTGCCGATAGTGATATCGGACATTGACGGCACCATCACCAAATCCGACGCGTTGGGGCATCTGTTGAACATGGTGGGCCGGGATTGGACGCATATAGGAGTTGCGAAGCTATATTCCGACATTGTTGCCAACGGCTACAACATCATGTATTTGACCAGTCGGTCCGTCGGGCAGGCCGATACGACTCGAGCGTACTTGAATGGCATCAACCAAGATGGATGGAAGCTGCCCCGTGGACCTGTCATTCTCAGTCCTGACCGGACGATTGCGGCATTGCGACGGGAGATCTACCTGCGCAAACCCGAGGTATTCAAGATGGCTTGTCTGCGCGACATTTTGAACTTGTTCCCCGGCAAGACGAATCCATTTTACGCCGGCTTCGGCAACCGGTTCACCGACGCATTGAGCTATCGCAGCGTCAACATCCCTTCCAGCCGAATCTTTACTATTAATACCAACGCGGAGGTGTCGTTGGACTTGTTAACGCTCAACAAGTACCGAAGCAGTTATGTGTCGATGCGCGAGGTCGTCGACCATTTCTTCCCTCCGGTTTCGACGCTGGTCAAAGATGGTGGCGAGGAGTATACTGACTTTACTTATTGGCGGGATACACCTGGAGACCTGGAGAACTTTACGCCGACCGACTCGGAGCGCGAAGAAGACGAGGATGAGGACGAAGACGAAGATGAAGAGGAAGCCGAAGTCGAGTCAGGAAACGACATGGCCGACAGTTACATCTCCCGAGAGAGCTTTGATGAGTCCTTACAGGACGAGTCGATTCGTGAGTCCATTGAGATTGACGATACCGTAGAAGCCTTGAGAGGTTCTGGGATTGTTGACGATGATGACGATGAAGAAGATACGGAAGGTGAACAGGAACATGACTTGGCAGACGACTACCTCGGCGAGGACGAGAAGAAGTCGAGTCGCAAAGCACTGTCGCAGACACCTACGCCTCGGAGCTGATAACGAGGAAATCCTTCCACTGAGTGTATGATGTTGTCATCGTTGCCTTTGAGCGGCATTTTCATGTTCATTTCAGCGAGGCATCAAGCAATGGTGTGAAAAATGGTGTTTCATGCAGTCGGATTCGATAAAGGTACTGGAATTGCTATGTGTTGTTATTTGTGTAAGTCGCCGCTTCAAGGCGAGCTGTGTGCAATGGACACATTTGGGCCTTAGGGGCGTTCATTATTGAGGCATCGAATGTGAATGGGTCCTTCGCCTCATGAATAAATACCGAAGCTAAGGTGGTCAAGGCGTTCAAGTTTCGTGTATATACAATATCTGATCTACGGTGCTGTCCAATTGCAGATGCTGTACAGTACCTTCAGCAAGCCACGCCCGTCCAATACCAATCTCATCCAGTGTCATGGGGCAGGCATCTGGCGTGAGCAATGCTACTCTGCCACTGTACAGAAACCCAACGTTAGGAGGACCGTCATCTACTAGTATTTGAATTTTCTCCATTCAATCGCCTCCTCTCGCCCATGACGGATCAGAAGCGACCATAGCAGACCTCTCCATCTTTCAATCTCTTCCCGGTTCTAGCCTTGACCTCTCTCAATCTAATTGTTCATCATACCCTTGTCCCCCAACTCTACCACAGCACACCCTCGATCAACGAACATAGCTATGATATTCCCTATCAAGCAAGGGAGCATGGCCATCGTAAGACTGGTCGACCGATCGAACAGAGCAGACCAACCGACCAGACCATGGCAAGGCAGACCAGACCAGACCAGACCAGAGCAGAGCACTTCTTACCCACTCCAAAAGTGCCCTATCCCCAGTATCAGGCTCAGGCTCAGGCTCAGGCTCAGTCTTTTCTCCCTCCCTGATCTTGCTGTCCCCGTAACTAGCACCACCACCACTATCACTCTCCTTCTTTCATCTCAATGCCTCTTCCCATCCTCCTTCCCACCAGCACCTCCTTTCTTACTTTTATCGCCATTCCCAAAGACCCTCTCAAATCTACTCAAGCACCCCACCCCTTCCAGCAAACAATCCGCCACCCAAGCCCACCAAACCCATGAGCCTGTCTCAACCCAATGCCGTCTCAAACGCTTATTCGCAAACCACACCGCCTCACCCACATGAACAACAACCATCCCTCCCAACACGTACGGCTGGAGAATATAACACAGCCTCGCGAGATTTGGAACAGTTCCCCCAAGGGACCAAATACTATACACCACCGACCCCGATCCCGGGTGTAACCTCTCACGGAAAGGAAAAGTAGAAAAGATAACCAAGCACAACAAACTCAACCCCCACTGCCACACCCTATCCGGCTTCACCCACCGATCAACGACCACATCGCTCAGATCCAATGCGGCCAGACAGTCGTTATGCATTGCGACGAGGCGTTCACGAGCTTCTAGCAACGACTTCATAGGTGGATCAAGCGGGATTCTGTATCTGCCGGATGCTGGTGAACTTGGACCAAGAGTGATGATGATGTGGTCGAGAGTAATGTCTTGCATTTGTGCGGTTTTGGTTGCCGGAACAGGGACGTGTGAGTACCGGCTCAAATAGAGGCGGAGAGAGAGGGCGTGGTCGGCGTTCATGTGGGTGATGATGCGGGATTTGATTGCTGCTGGGTCGGGAGGGGTGCGTTGTGTTGGTGGTCCAGATGGTCCACCAGTTGGTGTAGCTGTGGTGGTAGACATGATGGCAACGCTGAGTACTGGCTCACTAATCTGACTGACTGACTGACCGATCTGATCCTATGGAGTGCAAGGGAAGAGGGATACGTGCGTTTAGGTCCTGTTGGTATGGGTTGGTTGATTGGTAGATATAGCTGTTGAAATAAAGTACGTCGTGATAGATATGGTGTTTTTCGTACCTAGTCGAATTGGTGTTAACGTCGTTGTTGATGTATTGACAATATTTGTGGACCTTTTCTCCGTTTAATCGCATCAATTACAGTGATTAGTCGGGCGCTGTGGTAGCTAGCCTGACTGGCCTGGCCAGCACTGAATCACACTACTAGTATGTGATGCTGAGCTTGGATTGTGAGGTGAATAATAGATGGATATCGTTAAACCTCGGTGGGATATTTATTATCCGTATTTTCTGCTACGAGCGATGTCGGACCCTAACCCCGGACCACCACCACCACCACCGCCATCCCCGGTCGGATACAAAAAGGTACCTACCTTCAATATGATTGATCTTGGAATATCTGTATTCCAGGTCCTAACAATACTAACATCTACTGAAGCATGTATTTCTCTCCTGACCAGCTGGGGGTCATCTATTCCCATTCTCTGTGTACCGGTCGACATATCCGTGGATGCAACTGGGTTAATCGCAACAAGGATAGGTACATAGGTAGGGATTTTGCCAAGGGTAAACTTTCGAGACGAGTGATAAGGTAGATTTGTAGCGACTCGTCGTACAGTACAAGAAAGATAAAAGGATCATGATCTTATTATGTGTATGTATCTGAATATATTTGTTACGGAGGCTCCATTTTCCCCTCCCGGATCCTACTGGTTGTCCCAAGCGTGCAAAGATCATGATGTATTATGTTTTCGTGCTCGTGCTCGTGTTCAGAATTGATGATACTCCTCAAAATTGGTGCACGTACTGTACGTGCTTCATCGAGAACGTGCCGTACGGGTTTCTCCCGGCTGCGGCTGACAGCCGAACTCCCTCTCCCCATACCCGCGCTTCACAGAGCTATCATAGCACCAACAGCCTCAGGAGTGCACTGCATTGCTTTTCCTTACACACCGTACCGTAAGGCATTCCCTCTTTCCTTTAGAAAAGCATCCCCTTCGTCTGTTGGATCTTAGCGACATTGATATTCCTAATGAACAGGATCCAAATAAACGAGAGGGCCATGATGCCCGTGCCGGCAGCCAACATCCTCTCCTGGGCATAGCCATAAGCCTTCTGGATAGCCAGCCTGGTGGGACTGCCATATTCGTAACTGAGCTGGACAGTCAAATCGTTGTAGATGGTATCAAGGTCCGGCAGGGCATCTTCAGGCAAGTATCGCGCGAGGGCCTGCGGGAAAGTGTTTGTCCAGATGGCGGCGGACACGGTATTCCCGATGGCGCCGCCGATGTTGCCGACGACATTAAGCACAGCAAGCACAGCGGCCACATACTGGTGGGGCACGGCGGCCAGGACGGCGAGTTGCTCGATGATGATAAACACGCTGCCGCCCATCGAGATGAAAATCTGGCACATGACGATATATCCGATATACTTGTGCGGCTGGCGGAAGTAGATCATCAGGCCCTGGGCGAGCACGTACAGCGGCACGGCAATGTACAGCAGCCACTTGAAGTAACCCGTCTTGCGGATCAGGAATCCGACGAGCAGAAGCAAAACTCCCGACACGACGTCGAACGTGCTGCTGACGTACCCGGCCTCAGAAATAGAAAGGTCGTTGACCACCTGCAGGAAAGACGTGAAGTAGCTGGCCCAGCAGTAGTACGAGATCTGGTACGTCACGTCCAGCAGACATGCCCCGATCACCGTCCGGTCTGTCAGCAATCGTGCCGCGATGAACGGCACCTTCGCCAGGAACGCCTCATGCAGGCCGAATAGCGCCAGCACTACCACCCCGACCACGATCATGGCGATGATATACCCGGTCCCCCAGCCGTTGGGCGCCGAGTCGGCCAGAGAGAATGGCAGAAGGAAGACGGTCAATCCAGCCGCGAACAGGAAGACGCCCAATGCTGGAAAACAAAAAAAGCCACGTTAGCCCATCAAGCACTAAGAGGCACAGCCTGGAACAAAACATACCGTCGAATTCAACCACGTAATGGCAGATGCTCTGCCATAGCGTCCGGCCGCTTTTCTCCCGTCCAAGCACGCCCTGCCGCTTGGCTTTGCGCAGGTTTGTTTTGAGCACAAAGAACAATGGTGCCGCCACCACGGGCAGGATGATGGCAAAACAGCCAAACCCCCATCGCCAGCTGATGTCTTGATAGAAGCCCTCGGATGCCTTGGAGCCCGCGAATGCCGTGATCATGTATGGCGAAGAGGTGAAGGCGTACGCCAGCCCTCGATTCTTCAACTTGGACGCGTCGGCGGTGATGACGTCGATGCTGTAGATCATGCCTCCGAAGCCGACAGAGTAGAAGACCTGAGAGCTGAGTGAGTAATAGATCTCACCATTGCAAAACAAAAGAAGAGCGAAAAGAGAGAGTGTATAAGCCTACCTGTGCGGCGCAAAAGGTGGACAACGAATTGCACGAAGCCATCAGGATCAATCCCAAGTCGGCGAACACCACCATGACCAAGAACCCCTCGGCTCGGCCCCAGATATCCAGCAGCTTCGCGACAGGAATGTACGTCGCCGCACTCATGCAATTGGACACGATATAGATGACGGTCAGGAGCGAATGTTCTTCGAAATCGCTCGTGACATATGGACTGAGATTGTTGAGGATCGATGATTGGAAAGCGTTGACAAAGTACAAGAGAAACATCCTGTCGAGCCAGCCAGTCAGTCAGGTTTGCTCCAGAACGAGAGCTCCATCGTAGGTGTGATTTGAACTGACAGAATGAATACACTGATCAAAGACCGCTTCGACCACGTCAAGGTCACGGCCTCGGCCATTTGCACACCTCTCTGAGCATCGTCCGCTGGTTGCTCGAGCGGTTTGTCAGGTCCATTGTCGGACAGAACCGATCCAACCTCGCGCGGGCCAGAAACATCGGGCTTTATGGCATCCTGAGCACTGATTCCCGGAGTCTTCCCATCGACAGCAGCAGCATCGGTCATGGGCACGGCCGCGGTTGAAGGGCCGTCGGTGGTCGTCCGACGAAACCCAGGACGGAATTTGGAAATCCCAACCATCGTAATGCTTCTGGTGATTGTGAATCGTCTACGAAAGGGTACTGGAAGGCGAACAATGCGCGCGCCAGAGCAAATAGGAAAAATGAGGATGAACCTAGCTTTTCATATTCTTAAAGGAAATGACGGACCCTTCGTCCTGGGAGCTCCAACCCACCCACGTTGGCACCACGAGCCGTTGGGCCATGTCACCTACTAGTAGAGGGCGACGAATAAACGGGCATGAGCGCAACTTCATACGGATCGAGAGCCCCATGGCATGAGGGTCAAATGGTCGGCTCTAGGCCCATGGTCGTACAAGTGGAGGCGCTTTTTGGAGGCCCGAGAAAGGACCATGTGGTCTGCTTCCATCTTCCAAAGCTCTGCACTGTCGTCAACAAGCGAGCAGTGTGGCATCCTATGGACAGAAACGGCATCAATAGAAGCGACGGCGTGGAGGTGCTTGAGAGGTTCTTTGCCAGTGGTTGAGCGCCCGTCGAAGCTTATCGAGATAAGATGCAGATTTTTCTCCGTGCTAGTCGAGAAACGGCAGCGATCACCGGATCAGATTAGATAATTGGAGATAATCTGCCCCTTGTCTGGGACGCCTTATGGGCCCCTTTCACGAAAAGACGTGCCAGCCACGCGTTGTAAGTGGGCAATCTTCCAAGTCCAACTTGGCAGTGGGTAGCTGACCAGCTTCAACTGAGCGGACGGATGTGTAGGCCAGTACAGCACAGTACAGTGTGTCAAGCTCTCTCGGCGGGATTGTAGAACAAGTCTTCTAGTAGAGGTATTGCTGCCATGCAGTCGTGGTATTCGCGGTGCGATATACGTCGGCACAAAGGCTTTCAACCTGTCCTCTCTCTGGGGCCCGCAGGAAAGAGGGTAATTCGGGCTCTAAGCCCTACATTGATGGAGAACTTGAACTGTGCTATGCCGCCAGTGATGACCAAGCGCTCCGGTGACGGACACGGGACACGGTCGGGTTGGCGCCCGCTCATCCGTCGTGAACATCGTCAAGCCATGGATGGCTCCGAAAACGCTTGCTGGCATTGTAGCTTCGGCAGATGCTGGGATAGCGTCCGTTGGACGAGAACGAGTCTTGTCCTGGTGGTCAAATCTGCTCTTTGTTGCATTGCCAAGCTCATCTTTGAATGTAGCGTGAGACCATGATATCCCATGCCGATCTGGTTGAAGCAAGCTTGGATGATATATCGTTGCCCTCCTAAGGCAGACCACTGGACAGCGGATACGCATCTCCACAATCACCGATCTTGCTTCATTACTAGTAGCATGAGGCGATATCATTCAACGAGCCGGGAGAATCCCAGATCAATTGGACCATTCTGACGAGTAATTACCACTCGATACATGGCCATCAGTAATCTCTCGACTACAATGGCTAGAGGTACTGTAACAGTGACATCCAGTATAGTACTCCAGCAACCGACTCAGACTTTCTTTCGCCCGGGCTCCTAATCACCGATGCAAACACCTGTCCTGTGCATTCCATGCATGTCCCAATCGAATTATATCCAACGACATCATATCCCGTCAATTCGTAGCTCGTCTCAAAGTATATGCGCTCCAGGTTTGATCCACAGGCATGCTCAACCAAGTGCACACATTGCCCTGCGCCTGTGAAGACGTCTGCGGTGTAATCATGCACGTCATGTTATATGACTCCTTTTCCCTTCGGATCCCACCCACCTGCTTCGCATCATCAAGACTGGTGCAAAGGCTGGTACGTCATGACATTGCGCAAACTGGCTCGTACGCACAACACTCTTGATCTCAATGCGTTCATCCTGCCACCATAGCCTCACCATTCACCGCATGCGCAAAAAGCAATAGTTCCGCACTCTGTGGGTTCATGGGATTTGCAGCGTGTGTCTCTCGCCAATCGAGCAAAGCTTCATGCACTGCCTCGTCACTATCGATCAGGATAAAGTCGCCGTCCTCGTCCCGGTAACGCAGGCGGACCGACCCCGACGCGATGGAATGATTGGTAAAGCGGGCCAATTTGGCATCAATTCGATCTGCCAATGATCGAAATTGGATGTTACTTGCAATAATCATCGACACATAGTTTTCGTCAAAGCAGACCTTCGCCTTCAGCTGACTTGGTATGTACGGATCTCCATCACTGGAGGGGGATGAGACAGGCGGCGAGAAGGGCCGACCCTGCGATAGTGACTGTCCATGTCCCGGTTTCCTGGGATCGGTCCCATATGAAGGATCGTATGTGTATCCATAGTTCGGCATTCCGGGCCGGGGTCCAGAAGGCAGTCCATACTGTTGATGGGGGGTGCCTCCCCGGGAAGGCGGGCCGTTGTTTGGGGAATTGTTATGGCTTCGAGGAGGAGGACCCATCTGTTTCGCAACATGCGCCGGGATAGGTGGCACGGTCGGCGCGTGTTCACCTGACACATACTTCCGGCTCTGTTGTACCATGGGATGCACATCCGGACTGCTTGCAGATCTCATACGAGGAGGGGGCATGCCGGGGCCAGCACTTGGGCCTCGACTTCGGCCGTTCATCAAATACGGGTTCCCGCTCGTGTGGCCGTTCGTATTGCGAGCCATGGCGGGTGCTGTATTTCGATAAGACTCTTCGGAACGATGGGGGCCCGCACTGATGGGTGTTGTTCCTCGATTAGACCCTCCAAAAGCGGACTGAGAGCTGGACCGGGTAGATACTGACGACTGGGGCGGCGTATCTCGATCAATGGGGGAGAAGTAGGAGCCTCCTGGATATTCCTGGGGAGTCGGCAAGCCCCGGGTATTCAAAGAGAGTCCTCCCATTTCTGCCGTTGGTGCTCGCATGCGTCCAGCTGACATGTGCGGATTACTGCTGCCACCACTTCCTCCTGTTGCAGACCGCGACCGGAGGCTTGTACTAGACGCATTCCTGCTCATGCTGAACTCTGAATACCCCGTCACATCCGTTCCCCCGTAAGTGGTACCAGATAGTCGGCTGTAGTCATCGTCTTCCTCCTGCGCCAAGTAGGGGTTTTCCATGCTCATCCCCTGCAGCGAAAGAAGTTGTGTGTCGGACGTCCCCTTGGGTCTGGCCTCAAGCATGCAAGATGACCGCTGTGTTTCAATAATGTCTTGCCATTTTTGCAATGTGTCGTCATTCTTGAATTTGATGATGAACGTCTCCATCGTGCCGACTTCGCTTCTCCATTGGATTTGCAAAGCGTAATGGCCAGCCGAACTTGTAGCAGACACAGATTTGACATTGTTGAAATAGATTCGACCTTTGAGATTCATTCGAGGCTTCCCCCGCTGGTTCAGTGCAGGTTTGTTCGCCAGTCTGTTCTTGGGTTTGTTGGCGTTAACATCTTTGCACATGATCAAAATGCGGCTGAAGAGGTAGATGTGATATTCCTTCTCTTCAGAACGAAGACTGCCGTCCTTGACGATATTGAACGTCCCATGCAGGAGAAGTTCGCCAAGCGCCGCGATCTGGAGAGTCTTCCAATCATCTATGCGCTCCTGCAGGTCTTGAAGGGCATCATCACGGGTCTCCTTGTCAATTGAGGCATTCGCTTGCATTAACACGTCCTGAATAATTTTGATTGCACTAGATAGGTCGTCTTTCAGACGTTCGTCTTCCGTCTGGCTTTGAAGATCCTGCTCAATTAGTATCAAGGCCAGATATAGCGAGAGATAGAACGTACCTTCAGCAACAGGGGGTATTTAGTCAACCGCTGGAACGGCTTCAGTAAGAAACCATTCAGGATGGTAGGGTTGGCAAGCATTTGTTGGGTCAACGGGGATCGGATGCTCGCGACCATCTTTTCCCACTCCTGCTGACAAGTCGCCTCGCATCTTCTCTGATTGGCAATAAACGGCTCGTACTGTCTGAAAGGGTCTGAATAATGCACGAAAAGCTCGCCCCAGTTTTGTTGATCTTCGGGTACTTCGTTTTGTTGCTCAACACGGATCAAAAATCGTTGCGCAAAATCCAAAAGATTGTTGAGGTTCAAGAAGATGTTGTGGACAGCATCTCCTGTCAATGCGCCGGACTCTTCCAATTCCTTTTTGAGCGCCTGCAAGTTTTGTAGGTGATGAACATATTGCCTTTCGGTCTCGACCAGCTCCCTCAGTATATACTGTCTCCTTGTCATTGACTTGGGTGGTTGATTGGAGGCGTTGGAACCACTGTCCGTTCCATCGCGCGAATCCTCGCTGTCCGTGGACGGATGCAACTTGCCACTCAGTTTTAGGATATCGAGGACACGATTGACCAATTTGGTGACCTTGACAAAACCCGTAGTGTTGTCGCTGTAGAGATCAGTGACGGTGAACGTGTCCGCAGCAGGGATGTTCATCTGCTGCATGCAGGACTTGATGAACAGAAACGCAGCCTCCTTCCCTACCCTCTCTGGCTTGGTGGTGTCCACACGGAGATCGCCCTCCTCCGGGTTGGAAGCATTGTATATGGTCAACAGTGGCAAGCCACTTCGGAAGCATTGCCACAGTGAGGACACAGGATCAGTTTCTCCGTCGGCCTCGCGTTCCTCCATCTCATCAAGGTAGGGTCGGAAGCCAGGGACCCCTGACAGGCGACGGCGCAATTTGATACATATTTGGTAAAGCGATTCTCCATCTCTTACGTTGATGATATTATTCTTGTCCAATATCGGGCCATGGTCACCGTTCATCGTAGGAGGGCAGGCCAGCACTCTTTTCGAGTGCTGCAAGTGTCGCTCGTGGAAGGCCGTATCAGTTTCGATGGAAGACGGGTGGTCAGCGCATATGTCCGAGGCAACACTCTCTCCTGAATTATGCCAATGCCACAAATGATGCGAAAGATGCGTGACGAAGATACGGTGGACTCGGTCTGAGCCCAACGATATGGAGGTAGATTCCTAACGCGTGCGAATCGACGTGTTCGAATTATGTATCGACTGCCACAGGTTCGGCGACACCAGCAAGGAGCGAACCGGCGCAGAGGTATGAGGACGATGGTCGTCTGAGACAGGACGTGTCAGTAAGGATAGACAGACGGGCTCCCTGAGAAGAGCACGTTGGCTCGGAAAGTCGAGGAGGCAAAACGGGCGGACGTACCACACAGTACAGAGCACAGTTGACAGTTCTTCCCCAGGTTCCACAGATAGGCGACGGTGATAACGAAGGGGGCGGGATGGTACGAGGCTCCGACTCTGCCCTGTTGCTATTGTTGGCCGCGGTCCGTAAGTCGAGAGACGCTGACAGTCGTGTGGTTAGCGAGGACGAGGCCTTGGTTGGTCGAGCAGATGCAGAGAAAACCAATCAATGCTTTGCTGCAAGGGACGCAGGCGCGAAGAGGTCGAACAGGAGAGGACGAGGGGAGGAGGATCTTCCAGATCTCAAATCAAGAGTCCAGAGGTCGTTCAAACCAATTGAATGGCTGAATGCGGGTGTTCTCGCTGTGCTGCGGTATGTGTAAACAGGTGATTGTGTGGTTGTGATGGCGGTTTGCAAGTTGTGCGGTGTGTACAGTTACAAAAGTGTGTATTGTGTGTGTAAAAGAGACGGACAGGGACGCAGTCTCAAGCATTCATCGAAGTCGAGCCCTCAAAGCCAGGGAAGAGCGTGGTGGGTGGATATGGAGACTGATGGGCTTGCACAGGGGCCAACAGGGTGCATGTGTACACAGAAGCAGGCGGCGTAGTAGCAGGACTAATAGAGGAGTCCAAGCATGGACAAGGCCGGGCGATGTGCTGGTGGCGGCGGCGGCGGCGGCGGATGCTGGATAGTGCCTGGGTTACGAGCTAAGTAGGTGCCTAACGTCGTACGGTACTGTAGGTGGTAGTGGTCACGGTAGTGGTGGTGTTGGTGCTGGTGTTGAGGCAGCCTATATTTCGCCCAAAGGCATCCTTATTTCGCCCAAACGCCTTACCTTAATAGGCAAGTGGGTTATACAACCCACTTGCGATTAGTCAACTGGCGTAACCCCCATCCTTATTTCGCCCAAACCTTGGCGCCGCGCTCTAATTAGCCGGATATTTAAGCCGGGAGGCGCTAAGCCTAATCGGTCGTAATATCAACAGAAATATTAATAAACTCGATTTAGCTAATTATAGCGCGTTATTTAGGCTATACGAGTTACACTCGAATTAAAGTCGATTTACGAGCTATTTTCGATATAATAGGGTATAAAAGTGCTATTTTTATAGCTATTAAGTATAGCGGAGGCCTCTAAATCCTTAGAACCTCGAGCTTTATACTATATATTTGCCTAGTAAACGAGCTCCTACGTTAAATTACCGGATAATACGAAACACGAAAGTCCTAGGGATTAAACCTCTTCCTATACCTCTTATCGAGCTATTTATTACTCTTATTAGTACCGTTATAGAGCCTCGTCCTACGCCTCTTGATACTATTATAGCTCCTCCTCGTCCTACGCCTTCTAGCGCCGTTATAGCCGTTGTATATTCTCCTCTTCCTACGGTAGGAGACGCCGAGCGCTCTCGTCGAGGAGGCTATCGCTAGAAGGGCCTAGAAGTAGGTAGAGGGCGTCGAGTAGCGTTTAACTACCCCCGTAGATCGAGTTCGCGCTTAACGTACTTAAACTAAGATAACTTACGCCGTAAGTTATTATAATAGGCGCGAGGACGAGAAATAACGATAGATAGCTATATTACGTTAGCGAGATTTATATAGTCGACGTTCTCTATTCTATTAAGCCGCTAGTAAAGCGTAAATAGATCTAGTATTAAAACTTCATCGATACGTAGGATTTAAGAAACGGTATAAGGATAAGGTAGGCCGTAAATACGCGTAAAAGTACCCGTATAAGGTCGAAAGCCTCGAATCGGTCCTAAAGTAGGCGTTACCTTATCGACGCCTATTTTAAGTATAGTATTGCGTACGAGAGATAGGGCGTAAAACGAGACGTAACCGATAACTTAAGACTATAGGCGTAAGCTAAACTAAGGTCGCCTAGCTACTCGATCTACCTCTAAATAGTATTGACTTCGTACGTAACTCTCTTAAATAGACCTCTCGAGGGCGTCGACAATACTAGAGACGTCGAATTACGTCGATTTTAGCCGGCTCTTTAACGCTCGATATATTACCTCGAGGCGTGTCACGGATTGACATGCCAACTTCCCATCACGTGGCACCACGTGATGTCCATTAACACGTGACTAGCACGTGATCACGACGAAGGCTTGGCATGCCTCGGTTGCTGGCTACTTACTCGCGCAACCGAGCGCTACTCTTTCATAATCCTTCGTCTTAGAATTCATATCATAAACAGCACATACGTTTGCA